AATCGTATTTTTGGCATTTTATTGTTTGTTGTAAGTTATAGTTAGTTGAGCTATAAGTTTAGGATAGGTTTGGAAGCAAGAAGGATGGAAAAACCTGAGTTTTATGTAAAACCCGGTCGGGTATGGAATTTACCCGGCCGGGTATGAAGTGACAAAGGAAACTGCTGCATAAATAGCAAATACCCGGTCGGGTATTCCATATACCCGGTCGGGTATGAAGTGATTTCGGACCAAAGAACGTGCAGAAGACACAAAAACATGGGAAAATATTTGATTTGGTAAATACCCGGTCGGGTATGTCAAAATACCCGGCCGGGTATCCGGCATTAGGTGTTGAAAACACCTATAAATAACCCCATTTTCCTTCACTTTTAATCATCCCTTCTTCCATACTCTTAAGCTCAGTTTAGAATAGTATTTCTTTTATATTTTTATAGCATGTTTAGTCTCCAAATGAGGAGCTAAACTCTTCCATCTTGGTTTTGCTCCTTTGAAGCTTAATGAATTTGTAAGTTGTGAGTTATTATCTTTAATCTTCTTCCTTGAATATTAATTCTTTCTTTAAATACTATTTCTATATTAATATCGGGGAGTGTTACTAAGATGACAATTAGTTAACATCTTGACATTAATTATAGTAATAGTTATTTCTTCCTCTACATTAATATCGGGGAGTGTTACTAAGATGACAATTAGTTAACATCTTGATATTAACTATAGTAGGATTCATCTTCTTTAATGTTCTTTCTTGAGTATTAATTAATTCCTATTCATATTTCATATTAATATTTTGAACATTACTTAAAGGATCAACTAGTTTTGTTTCATATATTAATTAATACTAGAATCGGTCGATTAATACGCTTGTTATTAATTCGGTCCTTTCATGGTAGTAAACTTGGATTATTAATGCATGCATCTCATGGTTAATAATCTAAGGGGAATTAATTATATTGATTAAACCAATAAACCGCTTGTGTTGAGGTTATCAATCTCAATCGTTTTCATCTTAAGTTTATTGCTACTATCAAGTTAATATACGGCGCTTGTTCTATATTGACTCGATAGTAAGTTTTATTAATGAACGCTTCTCGTTATTAATAACTACCCTCGATGAACTGGATATACTCCTCGATTGAGTATTCGAGAGGAAGATAGTTAAAGATATAACCGGGATCGACGAACATTTCATTAAGTGGATAAAAGCAAAGCCAAGTCTTCTTCTCATTAATTAAACCACATAACTCGTTCATCTTCGTGTTCAATTTTAATTAAATCATTCAATCAAAACCCCCCTTTATTTATTAGTTTATAAAAAGAGAAGTATTCCTTTCCCTGCGGATACGAACCTTACTTAAATATACTACGTATATTTGTTGTATTGTATTTATTTTGATTGCACATCACGACAAAGTGCACGTCAAGGGAGAACCGTCCAAACATAGTACTACTTTGACTATTAGCAACCTATTGATTAACAATTTCTTAAAGCCTTCAATCTAATCATCAAAGCCCTCTGGTGGCCACCACCTAGGCTTAGGGAAATTCCAACCTCAACTGATGGCAGTCTCCAATAAACCGACACCATTACCCCCTCTATTCTCACTGTCTACCTTCTCTTTAGCATCTCTAAAACCTCCATAAGATCTTTGGGTGACAATGATGGTTCATTCATCAAATTTCCTCCAACTGTTTCCCCTCCCACTCTTACAATCTTTTCTCCACCCTTTACTGAAAGTGGAAGTTTACGCCCTCCCTCTATGCTGCACTTCACTTTTCCCTTTTCGACGTTATCATGCGTGTCATTATCTTTATTTATCAAATTTCCTCTAAATGTTTCCTCTCCCAATCTACAAGCTTTTCTTCACCATTTACTGAAGTGTAATATACTCATCTTTTCCTGAAGCACTTTTAATAATCTCATTTAAGAGTATATTATAGATCTTCTATGTCATCCCAATAGACTGCACACAAACAGGAAAAGGATTGTATTACAATAGTAAGTCACACTCATATGAATACTACATGTGTGTTTATGTGTATATATAATAAAGTATAACCACATTGAGATTCAAACACAACATCAAAGTCAATTATGTTCCATGCTGGGGTTTCCTCCCCACAGAGAGAGTACATAATGAATACAAATACAAATAAAACTTCCATCAAAAAAATTATTATTACATATTTAAACAATAGAATGCAGCTAAACAAAATATGCTTGCAAAAGTTCCTTAAGAAAGGAGTTTCAATTGTCTATTCATGGTTCCAACAAAAACAATTGGCTAGCATTCACCTATGTAGTTAGCATTCACTCACTTATAGATTGTACTAAGGGCAATATTTCCTTAAGAAAGGAGTTTCAATTGTCTATTCATGGTTCCAACAAAAACAATTAGATGCCAACTGAACTGACTAGTCTGCCCTTAACAACATACATTTCCAATAGCAAAGAGGGATAAAATGATAAAATGATAAAATAATCAAATCGTTTATCTTTTCATTCCTGGACGAGATTAGTTGAACAGGTGACATAGATTACATTCTTTGACTAGAAATGTCTCTTTTATCATTTCAAAAATAATAAAAATTGGCTGCAATGATATTGAGTGATTAAAAATGGATAGAATAATAGCATCTCAAGTATGAATTGACATACCTCTGAGGTTCATCAAAATGAAATAGGATGCCACCGTTACAACAGCTTCTCGATCCTCTTCATGAATGCAGAATTTCTTCAATAACTAACTCTGGTACCATTCCACCACGTTGCTGACTAGGAGATGTCAATTGAACCAAGGCATAACTTCAACAATTGAAGCTTACGAACCTGGATGGGTGCAGCTGTTCTCAGAGAAGATAAACTTGGAGTATGTGGTTCAACTTAAGCCCGACTAGGAGGATCCGATTGAGCTGGGAATAACCTTGAAGAGTTGTATTTGTAAAAGTCTATGAAATTTCTGCAGTTTGAACCACCAGGGCTGATTCGGAACTAATTTTGCCGCTAGTTGAGATCAATTGAAGTAATGGCGTAGTCTCAACAACTTGAGCTACTGGATCAGTCACATCTGTTGTAGAAAAAGACAGAATCAGAGGATCTGCTTTGATCAAAAACTTGACTGGGGGCTTCGATTGAGCCGAAGAAGATTACGGACATACCAACTTCTGCGAATTGAATCGACAAGGCTGATTGGGGAGCCAAATCAGAACACGAATCCTTAATTGTCGGGGCTGATTTACGTCTGCGATTATCCATAGATGAAGAACAACGAGATGCAAGGAAGGTGTGCCAGAGAGGAATGGGAGAGAGAGGAGAGCATATGCGAAGCTCGTAGATTACAGAGATGAGCGCATGATAAAATTTGAGTCGAGGCTACTTTTGAAATTGTAAAAATAAAATTGTAATGTTAAAAGTTTAGATATGAAAAATATTTTTAGTGTAGACATAAAAGAAAGGTTGGATAGAAAAGTGGTTCAATCCCGAAATTTCCACAAAAAATAAATGGCCCGAATCGGGCCCGGAACCGGCCAGGCCGGTTCACCTTTCCCAAACAGTGCGAATACAAATATGATAATCTAAATTTGGAATTTACAAATGTTTTTATTCCTATTTAATGTAATTATCCGAGTTTATACGATATATATATATATATAGGAACTATAAGAAAAAACATTGTTAATCAGACCATGGTTCCGTCCCTTCCGGACATTGCATATTATTGCATATTTGTACATAAAATTTGAATATATAGTGGATTTTCAAGAGTGAAAATTCGCATACCGTAAATTAATTCAAAACCTAATATTTGAATATATAGTGGATTTTCTTTTTGATATATACCGTAAATTTGAATATATAGTGGATTTTCTTTTGGACTGAAATTTGCTGGTCTGGTCTGATCTGGTTTGGTAAACAACTGCTCTCTGTGTATTTTATAACTACGGAAATCTGGTCTGGTCTGATCTGGTCTAGTCTGGAACTAAAAACAGTAAAAAAAAGCATCCTAAAGCTCAATATTTAAAACCAGAAATCACCTTTTTTAGGAAAGGTGGCTTAAATTGATATCACAACATAAATACTTTTGAGGTTTAGGATGTTTTCTTTTGGACTGTTTTCAGTCCCAGACCAGACCAGACCAGACCAGATCAGACAAGACCAGACTTAAACAGACCAGACCAGACTTAAATAGACCAGACCAGACCAGACCAGACTTGGATAATTATAAAATACACAGAGACCAGATGTTTACCAGACCAGACCAGATCAGTTCAGACCAGACCAGACCAGACCAGACTTAAACAGACCAGATCAAACCAGACCAGACCAGACCAGACCAACAAATTTTAGTCCAAAAGAAAACATCCTTATTCCTTCAACCCTTGGGTCCAACACATAAGCCCAAGGGTTTCGAATGGATTGTGTAAGTGTGAGTGATTAACTGATCCAACAACAAGTAAGATGGGCTAAGAGAATAACGAACAAATAAAGGATCGGATATTATTAATGATTAATAACGCCCCGATACAATACACTTGCTAAGGCCGAAGGCCGTTCGTCTTATACTGTAGTAGAAGAGCTGCGAGTTATAAGCTAGGAATGCTAAGGCTAATAAGTTGTCAACCCTTTACAATGAAATAAATGCTACTCCCTCCGTCCTAGGGAGAAATTCTCGGGTTGACTTTCACACATATTAAAAAAATAAAGTTACTGAGGGGTAAATTTTACTGTTTGGCACTGTTTCGACACTGTTTGGCACTGTTTCGACACTGTTTGACACTGTTTTGCACTGTTTGACACTGTTTTTATGTAGAATAACTTTCCATTTAAGGAAATGAGAACTTTTTGTTGGGACTGCCAAAAAAGGAATGTGGGAACTTGTCACGCCCCGGACCTACCGGACACGTCAACAACCCGCCATACAGTACGAATAGTCAACCGCAGTCCAACTCATCCATACTATAGTAGGCGTCTCGAATACCATTCACACATAGTACATCCATAAACAACATAATGTAAAATATTCATTTAATGCAGCGGAAACATTTAATACAAGAGTTTATGCCACACTTGGCAAACATGGGCATACAAGCCCCCAAGTAATTATTTGAATAAAATATCCATGAGCATTATTTAAATTGTTTTCAAAACAGAAACGGAAGAAGCACGAACTACGTCTTCTTCCCTTGATCTCCCCGAAGCAACGAGCGATGGCAGCAACCTTCAAGTTCTACCTGAAACTGTGAGGTGGCCTCCCCCGTGAAGGGGAGGTCAGTACTTGGAAGCATTTGACAAGTACAATGACAACTATACTAAGTATAATCAATGTTTCAATTTCTTAAGACCCTCAAATAGAGTTATATTATATCATAGGACGTAACCCCCGGTTACCCAATTTTATAAATATACTTACTTTATAAAGTCAAGTAGTCGCCCCGTAGGCCCATATCCATTTGGAATTTATCATTTGTCATTCCCCGTGACTATGAGTCACGACAACCCCATAGGGTTCCCTCGAGTCCCGATTGTATAGCAAGGGCTTGGCCCAACTACATTTCTATACAATCCTTTAACTCAATTTAATATGTCTAAATTTGTATGGCAAGGGCCCGGCCCAACTACGTTTCCATACCAACCATAACTTCATGGCAAGGGCTCGGCCCAACTACGTTTCCATGAAGGTCACAATACATGGCAAGGGCTCGGCCCAACTACGTTTCCATGCTAATCACATTACATGGCAAGGGCTCGGCCCAACTACATTTCCATGTAATCCTAGAGTCCGACTCTAATTTATTTTCATAGTCCAATTCTCAAGCAAATCCTATGTCTAGAATCAATTCACTTGGATAGCCCTTAGGCCTACCCCTAACACACCTTAGTGTTCATACAATTCGACCTTAAAGCATCTCTTAAGACTACTTAAGGCATATCTATTCACAATCCTATCTCTTAGGATTAATTTCATCATTTGTTTATATAAATCTCCCAACTAGTATTTTAATACTAGTTGGATAGTCTTAGAACTTACCAAGTTCTTAATTCACAATTCACATTTCATTTCAATTGATTTTCCAATACAACTATAAATTGATCCCAATATCAAAAATATCACTTTTATCCATTCATGAATTTCATACATGAAGTAAAAGTATACTCCCTCCGTCCCATTTTACCTGTCCTACTTTCCTTTTTGGGCTGTCCCAAAATAAGTGTCTTCTTTCCTTTTTTGGAAAGAAATATGTGGTCTACACCATTTCACTTTATTATACTCAAACCTCAACCACAACTTTTACTTTTTCAACCACTTCATTAATAATCGTGCCAAGTCAAACTAAGACACATAAAATGGGACGGAGTAGTATTTTATCACAATATTTTCATAGTTAATTCCATTACCTTGCCATTCCTTCATTCCACATAATCATACACAATTTATTCTAAATTTGTATATCATGCTTCACTTACTCATTTCAATAGCATTTCCATTTAGGCATTATTAATCATTAATAATCCATGAAAATCACATTTAATTACCTTAGGTAATCTTATGAAATTAACTCACTAATTACAAGCAATATAGTCAGCCATCCTCACCTTATGAAGCAATGAAATAGTTGCATTTGTTAAGCCCTTTGATCAATCCCCGTTCCGAACCGATCGAAAGTGCAAATTCTGGACAGCAGCCAAAAGCCGGGCGGCTTTCGTGGTCTGCAACTGCGAACAGCCTCCTATACTTGGCGGTTTCCGGCGGTTTCAACTCCTATCGATTCCACGACTCTTCTAAGTTAAATACCACCACTTTATAACATTATTCCACACTTTTAAACGTGTAGAACTCCATGTTTAATCCACCATATGATTTCTTAAAAAATCATACAATATAAAACTAGTTAAAATAGGAGTTGTGTTCTTACCTCTCCTCCTAGCTAGTTTTCTCTCGGGATTTCTTGCTAAATGCTTCCTTCAAGCTTGAGATTTGTGAAAGTCAACTCGAGAGCTCTCTCCCTCTCTTGTGGTTGGCTTGTGCGGATGAGGCAAGAGGTAGGGGAGAAGTCTCTATTCAATCACTCCCAATAATAGTCCAAGACTAGGACATGGGATGTAAAATTCTTGTCTCTAGGAGGCTTCTCCACTCATGCACGCACCAACCCATGTTGGGTTGTCCCTCTCCCTATTATTTGAGGCTAATTGATGTGTAAAATACCCCAAGTGGGTGCAGGAAGTCTCTCCCAATTATTCCTGTTGTTTTTGGCAGGTTGGGTCAAAATAGCACTCAGGTTGTCCAAACATTTTATCAACTTTAGTTGTCACTCTATTGGGCTTCTAAAATTATTATGATAACCCCAACTAAATATTTGGTAGCTCATTCTCATTTTTATGGGCCCGATAAAAAAAATTAATTAACCGCATATTAATTAAATATGCCAATCAATTACACGAAATTTATTCGCTAGGAAATTCAATTATATAAAAATTTCCAAATTCAAGTACATCCGGATGCGGTGTCACAAGTTCACCCCCCTTAACGGGAATTTCGTCCCCGAAATTCACAAATGCTTATTCAAAAAGAAATGCATATTGTTCCTTCATCAAGGCTTCCGTTTCCCAAGTTCTTTCCTCAACTCGGTCACTTTTCCAAAGGATTTTAACCATTGGAACTTTCTTGCTTCTCAGCCTCTTTACTTGTCTATCAAGTATCCTCACCGGTCGAACGGCATAGTTCAAGTCCTCACGTATTTTCACGGGTGGTTTCTCTAACACGTGAGATGGATCCAGCACGTATTTCTTTAGCATAGACACGTGGAACACATTATGTATGTATCTTCTCCAATTCCGGAGTCAACTGTAGTCGGTAGGCTACGGCCCCAATTCTTTCAAGAATTACAGATGGCCCAATATATCGTGGGTTAAGTTTCCCTCGGCTCTGAAATCGGATGATTCCCTTCCAAGGTGAAAATTTCAAGAATACTTTATCTCCCACCTTAAACTCTAAGGGCCTGTTTACTAATAGAAATATTTTCCAGTTTTCCAGAAAACTGGAAAACTGGAAAACAGAAAACAGGAAACGTGTTTACCAAAGAAATTCCTGGAAAACTGGAGAAAGGAAAAAAGAAAAGCGCGTTTACCAAATCGTTTTCCAAAACGGAAAAAATGAAACATGTCTCTCTTTTCCTTAATGATTTGGAGAAGTGACTTTTACTAGTTTTCCAAATTTGGAAAACGCAGATGCTACAGTGCCTTTGCAATGAATTTTCATACTTACACCTATTGGTGGGTCCGGTCCCGCTCCGATTTCGATTCCATTCCGGTACCTCCATCCTCGTACCTTACCTCTTACCCCTACCCTACCCACCCAACCCCCACCCCACGTACCCACCCTATAATGACCTTACCCCACCCCCCACCACATGCCCCAACCTCGGCCCCACCCCGATCCACCCTGCCCTACCGCCACCCCCCCACCACCTCGACCCCACCTCGATCCACCCTACCATACCGCCACCCCCCTACCACCCCGACCCACCCTACCCTACCCCTACCCCTCGTATATTACCACTTACCCCTATCTTACCCCTTACCACATATGCCTCCTACCTCGGCCCCACCCCACCGCCATCCTACCCCCGCCCCCACCTTACCCTACCTCGGCCCCACCTGTATCCCAGGCCCACCCTACCGCCATCCTATCCCAACTCCCTACCCTACCCCTACCTTACCCCAACCCCAAACCCTACCCACTACCCCCACCCTTACCGCCATCCTACCCCCACCCTACCCCTTCCCTACCCCGGCCCCACCCTGGTCCCGACCCCACCCTACCGCCATCCTATCCCAACTCCCTACCCTACCCCTACCTTACCCCAACCCCAAACCCTACCCACTACCCCCACCCTTACCGCTATCCTACCCCTTCCCTACCCCGACCCCACCCTGGTCCTGACCCCACCCTACCGCCATCCTATCCCAACTCCCTACCCTACCCCTACCTTACCCCAACCCTACCCACTATCCCACCCTTAACCCTAACCACGACCCTAACCCACCCACCCCCACCCAACCCCTACCCCTATACCTTACCACCCCACCTCGATAATACCCCTTACCCCACCCCCACCCATAACTTCCCTACCCTGACCCCTACGAGTAGGTATGGGTGGGTATGAAGGGTTATGGTGGAGTATGGGTAGAGTGTAAGATCGTGGTAAGGGTAGAGGTAGGGGTCAAGGGTGTGAAATTGGAGAACTATGTGAATAAATTGATGAACATGTTTTCAAATTTGAAAATGGAAAACTAAAAAATAGAAACAGAAAATTGGAGATAGAAAAACTGAAAAATTAAAACAGAAAATTGGAGAACGAAAAACAGAAGTAGAAAACAGGAAAATATCTCTGTTAGTAAACAGGCCCTTATATTGCATACTTCATACGTAGTATTAAGTATCACCACCTCTTTCCCATTTGAAGGTTCCCAAGGCAAAAAGATACAATTATTTAGTCAATAATTAAATATGCTAATTCAACTATATTTGGAGAAATAATTTTGATGAATATTAAGTCATTGTTGATAACTATGGTGTTATAAATATATTATTTTTAATATTTGATTATTAAATTATTGTATTAGAGTGTTAATTGTTTTCAAAAATAGAAAGTGAGAACCTTTACGTGAGACGCCCAAAAAAGAAAATGGGAACATTTAAATGGGATGGAGGGAATACTTTTTATAGGGAAAACTGTCAAATAGGTCCTCGAACTTTCATAAAAAAGTCAAATAAGTTCTTATATAGGAGGCTCTGTCCAGTCGTCGCGATTTGGGGTAGTTTCCGGTGGAATTTTTTGATGAAATATTTTGAGCATCTTATTCATCAAGTCTAGTTTACTCATACCAAATTTCAGCTAAAACTTCAACCAGGAACACATTCGAATTAATTCTTGAAAATAACCGTTCATTTAACTGCACAGTTATCTTCAAGAATTGATTTGAATGCGTTCCCGATTGAATTTTTAGCTGAAATTTGGTATGAGTAAACTAGACTTGATGAATAAGATGCTAACAAATTTTCATCACAAAATTTCACCGGGAACCGCCCCAAATCGTGCGGCTGGACGGAGCCTCCTATATAAGGACTTAATTGATCTTTTTGAGAAAGTTCGAGTACCTATTTGACAGTTTTCCTTTTTATATAATGCTATTGTAACTTACAAATGCGTCAAGCTTTGCAGATTGAATATATGGTATGCTACTACGCCCGTGAGGTTTAGACCTTTGAGATTACTGTCATATTTAGAAAGAAAGATGAGAAGAGACCAAAATTTATGTTAATTGTACTAACAAAGCTAAATTTAAGTAGTTGGGTACATTTGAGTCACCACAGGTCCTGAGCATCCAACTCCTCTCCATGCTTCCTTGCATGGGTCGGAGTGACCATCATTGAGGTTCCAGTTATCCAACTGGGGTGGACTGCCCATGGCCATGTACATCTCTCTCAGAGTTTGAACTGCGAGAGAAGATGATAAGTACTTGGATGAAGGCAAAGTAACAATAATCCTATTTCAAGAACACTATACAGTAAAAAGAACAGAACAGTTCTGCAAATCCAGAAAACGGTTCTAAATAAACTTCACACTTTCCTTTTTGGGACGGTCCAAAATAAACTTCACACTTCCTTATTTCCTTATTTGGCAAAGAAACCTACATCAAAACAGTGCTAAACAGTGCTAAACAATGCCAAACAGTGTCTCAACAGTGTCAAACAATGTCTCAACAGTGTCAAACAGTGTCTCAACAGTGTACTCTACAGTAAAGTCAACTTTATTTCCTTAATAACTGTGAAGTCAAAAACTGAAGTTTAAAAAGATCCGGAGGGAGTACTAGAATTAGAAAATCACTTACCTTCAAGGTCATTAGTGTATGACAATGCCTCGAAAGATAGAAGTGACATGAATATACAAACCCTGACACCGAACCAATTGATTTGAGTGGACATTGTGTTAAACAGGGATCAGAAACGTCCGATTCACCTGAAAATCACCCAAAATTTCTAGCTGAAAAACATTTCACATCTGGGTATTTGAAAGCAACAATCTAAGTTGGACCGTAATGTGTAAAAGGGATAGAAATAACTGGTCAGCATAAAGTCCAAAATACAATCTGACCAGACAAGCCAACTGCTGTGAATATAAGAATGAAAGTAACAGCAGGCAATAGTAGATTCACTTGGAAGTTAGAAGTTGATTTAATGGATGAATGGAAAGTATAAAGGGAAAACTGTCAAATAAAGATGATACTAAATTTAAGAGATGGATATATATAGATAAAAATCTCTAAACAACTTCTTCTTAATATCTAAATTTCTCTGAACTCGCTGAATGGATTTACAAGAGTTTGAACAAGCCCTATTTATACTAGTCAGGCATGGGATGAATCATCTAGGAATGATTCTACATGATTTGCTGGCAGTATTGAATCTAGCCAGGTGTGTGATTACAAGGACTTGTGTTTGATGAGTAAGGATGAGAATTAGCTAGGTGTCCTGATTACAAAGATGGACAATTCACACATGTCAAGCTGGCCGTTTTACAACACTCCCCCTTGAATGTTCATCCTTGAATATGTATTTGTTATGTTAAAAATTTATTGTGAAAATTAGTGTGAAATTAAAGGGGCAAATATTACGACTTATAATGTCGTTGTATTTGGATGTACTGTCTCGTTAAAAACCTTATCAAGAAAAACCCAGTGGGATAAAAACCTGATGAAGAAAAAATAGTGCAACGCATTCAAGTACTCCCCCTGAAATTAACATAAATTTTAAAGGTGGCGCATCCCGATTTTCTGTACGAGTTCTATGAACTTTATCGGGGGTAAACATTTGGTGAAGAGATCGGTCGGATTTTCACTGGATCTGATCTGTTAAATGTTGATCATCCCTTCTTTCTCCAGATCATGAGTAGAGAAGAATTTTGGTGATATGTGTTTTGTTTAGTCTCCTTTGATGTAGCTTTCTTTAATCTGAACTATGCACGCAGTGTTGTCTTCGTAGATCACAGTCGAGTGACAAGTAACAGGCTTCATACCTGATGAAAACGGTTAGCAACACAAGAGGGGGGGTGAATTGTGTGTGTCTGGAACCGTGGCAGTTTTTCGTAGAGTTCTAGTGTGGGATAAAGGGAAATGCGAAATAGTAAAGTGCACAAGAATTTAACGAGGAAAAATCCCTTGGCTCAAAAGGGATTAAAATTCCTCGACCTCCCTCGGAGGAATTTTAAACAACTTCACTAAACAAGCCTTTGAAAGATTACAAGAGTGATTCTCCTAATCTACCCTTGAGCCTCCCCAACTCTATCCTCTCTAGGAAGAGTTTCGCTTCTCTACCTTGCGGGTAGAGAGCCTCTCGGCTTTACAGCAAAGCCCTCACAACACACTTGATCCCAACCCGAGGAAGCTACTCTTAGCTCCTCCTCAATAACCCAATTACAATATAAGAAGGGAATAAGAACTCTGTCTAGAACTTCGGGAGCAGTTTCAGATGCCTTGGACTTGGTAATTTTCTCTTGAGTATTTCTCTTTATTTTCTCGGTCCAGCTCCCAATTCTTCTATTGATCTTCAGCATATATAGCTGTCTTGGAGTAGTCCGTTGGGCAGCCTTCCATAAATAATTGATCTTTAAACTTGTAAACTTGCCTTGATACTTTTGAATCACTTTCCATCTATCTTGAGCTCCATAACTCTCGGATATTGTCACTTTTAATATCAGCCCATATAAAAGGATAGTCAAGCACAAATCACGTATCAAGCAGCACCTTTTATTAGTGGAAGGTAGCAATGATAGATATGCAAGGGCAGCGAGTAATATTTCAAAGGAAATTTTCCTTTTACAAATATAGCAAATGATCACCTTTTTCAATTCAAAGGGGTACAGATCATGCTACGGTCACAAAGAATTTAAAAGCAAGGATTTCTTTCCATAAAGGTAATTTTCAAAAGACAATTTAAATCATGCAAGTGGAGATTCTCTCCATAAAGCAATAGTCAAAAAGCCAAGTCAATAAAGTGAAAGATTAATTATGCATGGAAGGAGATTCAAATTATGCTACGTGTAAGCATACAATTATCATAAAGGAAGGATTTATTTCCATAAAGAATATGTAAGAACATAGAATAGTCCTGTCCGCTGTTCCACCTGCATGGTTAGTCATCAATAAAACAATAAGACATATATGTCCTTTGTCCGGGTCTACGGCTGGTTCCAAAGCATGACTTAACTTCCTTTTCTGCAATCACTTATAGACTAAAAGTAACACTAGTCGTTTGTCATCAACAAAACAATATGTTCCAACAAATTCCCCCTTTTTGTTGATGACAAACACTTGGTGCCCTAAAGTTAGTTTCATAATGAATAAGCACAAAGTATCAAACATAGAACACATAGGGCACATATTCTTCCCCCTTTTGTCAACAACAAAACAATAAATAGCTTGAACCCAAGTTCCATCCGTATTTGTTCATGTTCATCAAGCTTGTTCTCGGGTCTTGGTTCTAGATGCCACACTTTGTTTCTCTCGAACTGATTAAGTTTTTCCTGCATAACTAGAAACCAGTCAGCGTCGGAGAGATCCACTTCATGGTTCTCCAGTTCTAAAAGTGATAAATACGCAATGAAAGCACAAAAAATTCTAATTTTAAATCTAGTAGTTACTCCCTGATTTAGGTCAGTCAAGAGGTTATCCAAAGGATGTGATCGATGATGTTTCCATCCTCTAGGAGCATTTGAATAGTCTTCAATTTCATGCGAGTCGTCTGGAACTGGATCTGCCTGTTCTTCAGTCTGGTTGGCAGTGGATTGACTAGGTACATCCTCAGTTCTAAGCATGTTATCGTCAGTTCCTGTTCATATCTCCTCGTGGGCAATTGGTTTCATGATTAGTTCTCCCTTTCTCATGGAATTGGTGAAATCTCCGCGTTTAGAGCTTCTGCCCATAAATTCTTTGCTAGACCACTAGAGATGAACATAGTTCTAGTCATATCTTTCAGTGTTCTATTTCTCGGTTCTACCACTTCTCGTTCTTGGCAGAATGTATCAAAGAGCATATTGTCAAATTCGGTCCCATGATCCGAATGGATCTTAATTAATTGCTGCCCTATTAGATGGAATGATGCTCAACTTTCCTTACAAAAATAACAAACTCATTAAAAGTATCTTTCTTACTATCAAGAAAGATAGTCCAAGTATATCTTGAGAAATCATCAACAATTATAAGCACATATTCCAAAAAAAAATAACATTGTTACCTCCGTCTCATAATTGAAAGATACGTAGCAAATTGAACTTAAAACCTTGACAAAAAAAATTGAATGGTTGGATGATTTTCCGATTTTTCCCACAGCTACAATTTCTCCTTTGCCGTTGTCTTCAAATATCACCTTCCCACCTCTAAATGGCTGAAGTGAGAGGAATAAAGATGAGTCTCCAGTCATGTGCTTAGAACAACCACTGTCAAGGAACCGGTGATTATTCCCCCTCACTTGGCACTGTTCCTGAATCACGGGTTAGTCCGTGGAACCCAGACTTGCTTGGGTTCCGTTTTGTATTTGTTTGAGGATGGATATCGAACATAGTCAAAACATCTTTCTAAGGTCTTTTGTCGAGAGTGACATTGATACCGAAGATGCCCGATTTTGCCACAATGCATGCAAACTCGGTTGTCATAGGTATCAACGTATTTAGGTTTCCATTTACCATAAAAGCCTCTTGTTTTCTTATGAAAAGTTCGGTTTGGCGTTTGTCCATAACCGTTTTTGTGCCTCTGAACCAGTCTATCGAACCAGTTTGGTCCAGTTCTAGGTGGTTGTTGATATGGTCTAGAACTGGGTTGTCCTCTGGTTCTATTTCCATTAAAGGATCGGTTCTGAAAATCGGGTTTTTTATTAGGTTGAGTGTTCCTTGGAATATAACCGAGACCAGCAGTCTCGTTTTCCTTCTTATTGTGCCGAGGGGGACCAGTTCCAGAATAAGGTCTAGACCTGGTTTTGTTCTTAGCACTATATGCTTGGTATTCCGGTCTATTTTTAAAATCTGTACACTCGGCAACAAGACGATGAAGATGATCAATCAAAGTACCAACGCTCGGAATTTTTGAGAGAAGTTTTTCATCATGATTAACTTGTTTGTTCATACTATCGAGCTTAAGAGAGCAAATGATTTGATCTTGTTCTAAAACCACTTCACTGTACTTAAGCCTTTCATCTATTAACTCTCCCACTTTTGTTTCAAGCCTTATCTTGGCTCTCGTGGCTTCCTCGAGTTTAGACTCAAGCTCAGTGATTTGTGATTTAAGATGATCATTTTCAGAAAGGTTTTGATTAAGCTCAATAGTTAATCTTTTGAAAATTTTCCGGGCTTTGGTTTTGGATAGAGAGTCAAACTTAGATAGAAAATTTTCAAAGTTTACCTCGAAGCTCTCTTGGTCGGATTCCTCGTCGGAGTGTGCCATAAGACATAGACCTGTATGGTTAGAGTTCTTATCACTCTCCTCTTCTTCGTCATCGGATGAGTCTCCCCAGGCTGCCATCATTGCCCTTTTGAGATCTCTTTTGAACCCTTTGTCTTTGCTGGACCTCCGGTTAGAACTGGACTTGTTCTTGTCGTAGGTCCGGTCATTTTTCTTTTGTGAACAGTCTTTAGCCCTGTGCTCAAGGGAACCACAAACAAAACAGCCTTGGTTATTAAAAGATTGAAAGTTATTTTTACCTTGTTTGTTCCGGTTGTTCTTGAACCGTCGGTACATCTTCCCGAATTGTCTAGCAAATATGCTCATCTCATCTTCCGATTCACTTTCGGATTCTTCCTCCTCTTCTTGAGCTTTTAGAGCAATTCCTCTCTCTCGCCTTGCACTCTCGGCATCTTGTTCTTCTTGAAGACCTAGTTCATATGTCAAGAGTGATCCAGTCAAGTCTTCAAGCGTCATGGTGGATAGATCCTTTGCTTCTTCAATAGCCGTGGTCTTAGGCTTCCATACTTGGGGCAGACTTCTTAAAATTTTTCTTACTTGATCTTCCACTGTAATTTCTCTTCCAAGGGCTGAAAGCTCATTGATGATATTAGAAAAACGTGTAATCATATCCTTAATTGACTCTCCAGGCTTCATTACGAATAATTTGTAATTACGCATAAATATGTCAATTTTAGATTTTTTTACACGTGAGGTACCTTCATGAGTAACCTCGAGCAAATCCCACATTTGTTTTGCAGTCTTACATCCTAGAACTCGGTTGTGTTCAGCAGGACCAAGACCACAAATCAAGTATTTAAGAGCTTGGGCATTATGCTCGAGTTTTTGATAATCATTAGTAGTAAATTCAGCTTTAGGTTTAGGAACAATTTTACCTTCGCCGTTTAGCTTTGTGATGACGTTGTCGCCACCTTCTATCACATTCCATACCTGATAATTATTGGCTTTGATAAAGTTCTCCATTCGGCTTTTCCAAAATTGATAGAACTGGCCATTGAACATGGGAGGTCGTACGGTCGAATAACCTTCTTCAAGACGGTCAACCGTATTCATTTTGCCGGATCTCTTCCCAAGGTATTAACCTCTATGTGGTGAAGACCGGCTCTGATACCAATTGATGAAAACGGTTAGCAACACAAGAGGGGGGGTGAATTGTGTGTGTCTGGAACCGTGGCAGTTTTTCGTAGAGTTCTAGTGTGGGATAAAGGGAAATGCGAAATAGTAAAGTGCACAAGAATTTAACGAGGAAAAATCCCTTGGCTCAAAAGGGATTAAAATTCCTCGACCTCCCTCGGAGGAATTTTAAACAACTTCACTAAACAAGCCTTTGAAAGATTACAAGAGTGATTCTCCTAATCTACCCTTGAGCCTCCCCAACTCTATCCTCTCTAGGAAGAGTTTCGCTTCTCTACCTTGCGGGTAGAGAGCCTCTCGGCTTTACAGCAAAGCCCTCACAACACACTTGATCCCAACCCGAGGAAGCTACTCTTAGCTCCTCCTCAATAACCCAATTACAATATAAGAAGGGAATAAGAACTCTGTCTAGAACTTCGGGAGCAGTTTCAGATGCCTTGGACTTGGTAATTTTCTCTTGAGTATTTCTCTTTATTTTCTCGGTCCAGCTCCCAATTCTTCTATTGATCTTCAGCATATATAGCTGTCTTGGAGTAGTCCGTTGGGCAGCCTTCCATAAATAATTGATCTTTAAACTTGTAAACTTGCCTTGATACTTTTGAATCACTTTCCATCTATCTTGAGCTCCATAACTCTCGGATATTGTCACTTTTAATATCAGCCCATATAAAAGGATAGTCAAGCACAAATCACGTATCAAGCAGCACCTTTTATTAGTGGAAGGTAGCAATGATAGATATGCAAGGGCAGCGAGTAATATTTCAAAGGAAATTTTCCTTTTACAAATATAGCAAATGATCACCTTTTTCAATTCAAAGGGGTACAGATCATGCTACGGTCACAAAGAATTTAAAAGCAAGGATTTCTTTCCATAAAGGTAATTTTCAAAAGACAATTTAAATCATGCAAGTGGAGATTCTCTCCATAAAGCAATAGTCAAAAAGCCAAGTCAATAAAGTGAAAGATTAATTATGCATGGAAGGAGATTCAAATTATGCTACGTGTAAGCATACAATTATCATAAAGGAAGGATTTATTTCCATAAAGAATATGTAAGAACATAGAATAGTCCTGTCCGCTGTTCCACCTGCATGGTTAGTCATCAATAAAACAATAAGAACATATATGTCCTTTGTCCGGGTCTACGGCTGGTTCCAAAGCATGACTTAACTTCCTTTTCTGCAATCACTTATAGACCAAAAGTAACACTAGTCGTTTGTCATCAACAAAACAATATGTTCCAACAATACCGCATTCATTTTGGATGTGTTGAATCATAGATCTCAGCCCCACACATTCTCTCCCAGTTTCATATAGCGCATTTAACTCTGAATGATTTGATGATGTCTCTGTCAATGTCTGCTTCATAGATCTCCATGAGATTGCGGTGTTACCATAAGTAAATACGTACCCGGTTTGTGCTTTCGCCTTTTGAGGATCTGATAAGTATCCAGCGTCTGCATATCTGATTAAAGAAGCTTTTGTATCTTTGTGGTAGAATATGCCGAGATCAATTGTACCACGGAGTTAACGGAATATGTGCTTGATCCCGTTCCAAATTGGAGTACGTAGTAATAATAATATTATTGCTCCTTCCGAGAATCCCAGCTAGGCAACTAGCTAGCTAGATAATAAAAATAATAATAATACGGAGTACGTAGTAATAATACGTAGTCATATACTTCGTACTTCGTAGTAATATACTTCGTATTATAATATTATTATACGTAGTAATATACTTCGTATTTCACTTGTGATTGTTTGGGAGGGAACTGAGAAGCGTAAGCACAGTTTTCATTCTTGCGCTCCAGTGGGAGAAGCACGTCGCAGATTCGCAGCTGGGCACATGTTACAAATTAAAACATGTACCGATTTTACTTAGTTAGTGGTTAACCGGTATTAACATAATTTTAACCATATAACCGTACCATTACCGTTTTTCTTTGCGGTTGGTTAACCGTACAGTGAGTTTTTAAACAATCCGGTACGGTTAACCGGAAAATACATCGGTTTTTCGGTTTTTTAAATTGGTTAGCCGGTTACGGTTTTTTATGCCCACCCTTAGTTCCAATGACGCCTTGTTGGACATGAGCTGTACCTAACTAACAAATTTACAGAAAACGCAATATCTGGTCTAGTATTATAATTAGCTAAACACATTAAAGATCCAATAGCACTGAGATATAATTCATTAAGAAATACACATATTATTACTCCGTAATACATTAATATTAATTATTATATTTATTATTAAATAGATATTGTATATAATATAATATAATATAATATAATATATACTTATTTTTATATGCGGGTTAGTGGGTGGATGGATGGAGCGGGTGACGGGTCGGGTGATGAATTGGATGAGTGTTCATCCACACCCGATCCAACCCGTCTTTCAATCCACCCGTCATCTATTTTTTATCCATATTTTTTCGGGTTTTCGTCTATATTTTCGGTTCAGGTTGACCGTATATTCGCGGGTGCGGGTGATATTGTCAGCCCTACCATGAATGTTCATCCTTGAATATGTATTAGTTATGTTAAAAATTTATTGTGAAAAGTAGTGTGAGGTTAAAGGGGTAAAATTATGACTTATAATGTCGTTGTATTTGGATGTACTGTATCGTTAAAAACCTTATCAGGAAAAACCCAGTGGGATAAAAACCTGATGAAGGAAAAAAGAGTGCAGCGCATTCAAATATTCCCCCTAATATGAACATAAATTTTGAAGGTGGCACATCCCGATTTTCTGTACGAGTTCTATGAACTTCTTCGGGGGTAAAGATTTGGTGAAGAGATCGGCCGTATTTTCACTGGATCTGATCTGTTGAATGTTGATCGTCCCTTCTTTCTCCAGATCATGAGTAGAGAAGAATTTTGGTGATATGTGCTTTGTTTAGGATCCTTTGATGTAGCTTTCTTTAATCTGAACTATGCACGCCGTGTTGTCTTCGTAGATCACAGTCGAGTAACAAGTAATAGGCTTCATACCGCATTCATTTTGGATGTGTTGAATCATAGATCTCAGCCACACACATGCTCTCCCGGTTTCATATAGCGCAATTAACTCTGAATGTTTTGATGATGTAACTGTCAACGTCTGCTTCATATATCTCCATGAGATTGTGGTGTTACCATAAGTAAATACGTACCCGGTTTGTGATTTCGCCTTTTGAGGATCTGATAAGTATCCAACGTCTGCATATCTGATTAAAGAAGCTTTGTATCTTTGTGGTAGAATAAGCCGAGATCAATTGTACCACGGAGATAACGGAATATGTGCTTGATCTTGTTCCAATGACGCCTTGTTGGACATGAGTTGTACCTAGCTAACAAATTTACATAAAATGCAATATCTGGTCTAGTACTATTAGCTAAATACAGTAAAGATCCAATAACACTGAGATATGGTACTTCGGGACCGAGTATATCTTCATCGTCTTCTCGTGGACGGAATCGATCATCGTGTATGTTGAGAGATCGAACGACCATTGGTGAGGTCAACGGATGAGCTTTGTCCATATAGAATCTCTTCAAAACTTTCTCGGTGTAATTGGATTGGTGGATGAAAGTTCCATTCTTCAAATGCTCAATTTGAAGTCCGAGACAAAATTTGGTTCTCCCGAGATCTTTCATTTTAAATGCTTTCATAAGATATTTTGCAGTATTTTCAATTTCATCGGGAGTTCCAATAAAGTTTAATTCATCTACATATACTGCAATTATGGCGAATCCCGAATTTGATCGCCGAATGAAAACACATGGACCAATTGGATCATTCTTATATACTTCTTTGAGAAGGTATTCACTGAGACGATTATACCACATTCGTCCAGATTGTTTTAGTCCATACAATGACTTTTGTAATTTAATGGAAAACATTTCTCGAGGTTTCGTGCTGATAACATGTTGTGAAATGAAGAAGATGATACTAAATTTAAGAGATGGATATATATAGATAAAAACCTCTAAACAACTTCTTAATAACTAAATTTCTCTGAGTTCTCTGAATGGATTTACAAAAGTTTGAGCAAGCCCTATATATACTAGCCAATCATGGGATGAATCATCTAGGAATGATTCTACATGATTTGCTGGCAGTATTGAATCTAGCCATGTGTTTGATTACGAGTACTTGTGTTTGATGAGTAAGGATGAGAACTAGTTAAGTGTCTTGATTACAAGGATGGACAATTCACACATGTCAATCTGACCATTTTACAACAATTGATTCATTTTAAAGTGAGTGAACTTAATTGACTTTTAGGTGAAAGTAGATGGTGAACTTATTTCATAGTTTTCCATAGTATAAATGATGTTTGGGAGAAAAATATCAAAATATGGTACTTAATCGGCAGCAGGGGCGGAACCGGGGAGAGTGTACAAGTGCGGTCACTCCCCGTTTGCCATCTCAAAAGCTATATTAGCCGACCCGAAAAAATATTAAAATTTCAAGTAGCAGGGGTAGACGCTAAATGCAGCATCGGTGGAGACGCCGGTTCAATTCCCTCCCATTTCCATTTCCTTTTAAGTATTAGAGCACTGTTAATGCTAAAACATTAACGGTGCATACGTGGCATGAGAAATAACCAATTAAAAAACAATAAATATAATATCTCTCTCCTTATTTGAAGGATCTTACATCATTTTGGTGAGTTGTTCTTCACAATGTCAAGCACAATGTCTAGATGTAGACATTATGATCGACATTGCAGACAAAAACTTACCAAAAACACATAAGACCGTGGAAAGAAGGAGAGATAAATGTCATAAAATCAATATTTTGTGTCTATATCTCTAATGTCACTTGTGCACCGTGCACATTGTAGCATTGGAGATGCTCTTAGAGTATTCCTCTCCACTCTTCTAGCTTTTGGGATAGTAGTAGTTTTAATTTTTTTCCTATCACCTAGATTTCTTTTACTATTATTTTGGATTTTATCTTTTTAAATTTTCTTCCCTCTTCAAATATTAACCTTTATCATTTTATAAGCAATTTATTAAGAAAGTTTTTAAAACGTCTTGAGTTTTATTATGACCCAGTGTATTTTCCCTTGTTGTTTGGGACGGGGTTCAACCATGGTTTAAAATAGTGGCCCGCTACCGCTATAGCGGCCGCTAAATAGCAGTCGCGGTAGGGGCCGCTACCGCTACGCTACGGCCCATTATTCGTGTGTGATTTCCAAATCACGGGAAAAATCCGCTACGCCGCCCGTTACAGCCCGCTACTCGCCCGCTATTGACATTTCCGGCAGTATATCACGAATTGTTTGATGTGTAAATGTGTAAATATTGTGTGAATGATGTGAAAAAATACATTAATAGTGATGCATGGAGTGAAACTCAAAATTAAATGTTGTGTGAATGATGTCAAAAAATACATTATGTTTTGCGCAATTGAAAATATTTCATGCCGCTGCAACCGCTATCAGGGACGGAGCCAGAACTTAGTCATAGGGGGGGCAAAGAAGCAACAAAAAGAACCAACCAGATTTTTTTGAAGAATTTTTTTGAGAATGTTATCCCTGATGTGTAGATTATTTACATCAAATTTCAGTTTAAAATTCAATCAGGAAGTCAATTAAACAAATTATTAAAAAACATTGAGTCAAAATATATATAAAACAACACAATGTTTTTCTATAATTTTTTAATTGACTTCTTGGTTCAATTTTAAGCTAAAATTTGTTTGAAATAATCTACTCTTCATGACAAATATGCTCACAAAATTTGATAAAAAAGTTCTACACAAAAACATCTCAAATAGAGGCTTCTATCAGGTTATTTTGGTCCCAACTTTTCTGATTATTTTATATTGAATACTAATACTATTAAAAAGTATAAAAACTGGGAGGGGCAATGGCCCCCCTACCCCTCAATGTAGATCCGTCCCTGACCGCTATAGGCCACTACCCGCGATAACCGCTACTGCTACCGGCTGCCGCTATGGCTATTTAAAACCTTGGGAAGCACATATACATATTTTAGACGATGAAGCGCAGATAATACTAACCGAAGGTTTTCTTTCTAAAGCTGCGAGACTCCGAGTATGACAGTAGACGACGTCGCACCGGATAAATGTGAAAACCGGAGCTCTGACGGAAAGCAATATGCGAAGGCTTTTTCCTAAAGTTTTGTTCTGCGCGCCCGAATCCTGTTTTTCACCTAAAACATGTCACCTAACTTTTGATTCATATGTTCTGAATGGTAAAATAATACGGAGTAAGAAAAAGTAAAGCAGTAAATTAGTTGAATTAACTTCATAAATTTAAACCAGGGTTGGATCCAGTATCGTCATTCAGGTGGGGCCAAAATTTAATTAAATAACGCAGATTGCAAAAAAATGTCAAAGTGTAGCAAAATAGTACTCCCTCCGTCCCAATATAAAAGGCACATTTGCGTTTGAGGAGTTTTTAAGGTTGAACACTGTTTGAACACTGTTTAGACACTGTTTGGCACTGTTTGGACACTGTTTGACACTGTTTTGCACTGTTTTGTTTGCCAAAAAGAGAAATGTGCCTTTTATAATGGGACGGACTGAAAAGGAAAGTGTGCCTTTTATATTGGGACGGAGGGAGTATGTTATTTGACATGATTTATTTTCAAATATAAAATAAAATTTGTTGCATCATCAATGTCAAAAACAAAAACAAATATAAGAGGAATAAGAATTTCTGTGGAATGCAAAAAACACCTCAAACTCATACATTTTGAACTAATTTTCACCTACCAAATCCAATGAATTCAACAAATTAATTTTTCAGGCTCGTATTAAAAAACGCCAATAGTGTCACAATATTAGTATCTAGCTTATTTAACATTTGAGACCAATTGATGTTAGCCTTGTAGTAACTGATCTTAGAAGACCGATTTTAAAAAGATATTTCGTATGAAGGAAAAAAAGATTTTAAGAAAGAAACTAAATTTTGTACACTATGCTCTCCATTAAAAAGTAAAAAAAAAAGCTCTAAATGGCTCGCATTAAAAAACGTCAATAGTATCTAGCTTATTTAACATTTGAGATCCGATTTTAAAAAGATATTCCGTATGAAGGACAAAGAGATTTTAGGAAAGAAACTAAATTTTGTACACTATGCTCTCCAATAAAAAGTAAAAAAAAAAAAAACTCTAATGAGATTTGAACCCTGGACATGTATTCTTTCAAACTCCGGATGTGCAAGCATGTAGATCAGTCTACTTCCATCTTGCCAAACAATACGTTGAACATTTATTGACTTTCTTTATTTTTATATCATTGCATAACAGAATTATATACTAGTATAATATATATATATATATATATATATATAGGGGAGGGTTCTAATGAGAACCTCTCTTAAAATGAGAAATCGTGAGAACCCCGACAACCGGTGGTATTTTTGGCTAAAATTTTTTTGTGTATGTTCCTCATCAAGTCTAGTTCATCTATACCAAAGTTGAGCAAAAAATTCAATCGGGAAGGTCGTCAAATGATTTTTGAAAGAAACTGGTCCGGAATATACATATAAAATGCAGTTTTCTTTCAAAAATCATTTGACGACCTTCCCGATTGAATTTTTTGCTCAACTTTGGTATAGATGAACTAGACTTGATGAGGAACATACACAAAAAATTTCAGCCAAAAATACCACCGGTTATCGGGGTTCTCACGAGTTCTCATGCGTGTAAAAAAAGATTGACAAAGTTTGCCAACTTCTGCACTTTTTATTTTATACTGTATTGCACTTTTTTACTCTACGTGTGCACTTTTTAACTATTCTGATACACATTTGTCACAAAATTTTCAATAAAAGTTCTCCGTAATTACAAAAATGCCACCGCGTTTCCACCTTAAAATTTGATCTCTTCCATCCATTTTTTCACATCAATGACCAAGATTAGTTCTTATTTTTCACCTATGAAGTACTTTTTATTTGGACCAACTTCTATATATATATATATATATATATATATACATACATATATATATATATATATATATATATATATATATATATATATAGAAGTTGGTCCAAATAAAAAGTAGTCTTCCCATGAAAAGTGAGAATAATTCTTGACCTTTGATCACTTGAAAATGGATGGATTAGATGAACTTTAAACATAAGAGACGGTTTCTAAAAATGTGCAAATGTTTATACTATAAAGTGGATAGCTACCAACCAAAAGTGCACTCACGCGTGTAAAAAAAGATTGTCAAAATTTTCAAACTTGTGCACTTTTTATTTGATAACGTATTGCACTTTTGTGTTCTACGTGTGCACGTTTTGACTATTCTGATACACATTTGTCACAATATTTTCAAAAAAAAGTTCTCCATATTTACACAAATGCCACCGTGTTTCCCACTTAAAAATTGATCTCTTCCATCCATTTTTTCACATCAACGGCCAAGATTAGTTCTTATTTTTCACCTATGAAGTAGTTTTTATTTGAACCAAATTATATATATATATATATATATATATATATATATATATAGGGAGCGGTTCCAGTAAGAACGGATCTTAGGAGAGAAATGAGAACGAATTTGGACCGTTGGATTGAATTACGTGGAACTGAATTGTGCATTTGGTGAAACCAAAATGTGCATTAGATGATATTGAAATGTGCAGAATAAAAATATAAACTCACATGTGCATTAGGTGAAACTGAAATGTGCAGAATAAAAGGTACAAAAATA